CCTTTTCTTCAGTTTGTTTGTAATTTTTCTAACAAACATAATAATAAAAAATATTCATTGTGGTAAACGAAAAAATAATTTGATCTAAATAAGAGTTTTTCTTCCCGATTTGTAAAAAATCCATACGTGATAGAAAAAAAAGAATATTATTTTCGAAATCTGCGTAGCTGAATATAGAAAATCCGTTATTAAAACCAAAACAACTTTTACGAAGTTTAAATTCGTAGGCATGTGTTATCGAAGATCTCTTTCTGCAATGCATATCAATGGCTGAGACTGGATTTAGCTTAATGCAGACTGACCTTTTCTACACCAGATTGAATTAAAAGGATTTTCCCCTTTCAAATAGTGTTAACGCTAGAGGAACATTGGATAAAACAACCAGTGTTTACATATTATAGAACATTAATGAAATACACAACTGCATTTATTAACTGATATAAATATTGCACTATCAAGTTATAAGATTTATGTATCGATGCTAATACTGAATTGCTGTAGAACGAGCAGAGACTGTCCCTGGTGGCGCGTTTTATAACTACGGATTCAAATTATGTATAAGACAGTTTTAAACATGGATTCCAGCGTTTATACCAGCAGTTGCGGGGTTTCTGCTCACCAAAATAACTTTTATTGTTCTTGGGTTTGATATCCGTCCAGGTTATTTTTAGACAATCATAACGGATGAAGTGTTCAAATTGGCTGTCTTATACTAAAACAAAAAGCTTAACAGTTTTCTATGTCTTTCACATACTCTGGTTCCTCCTGTTCCATTCTCTTTCGCTTTAAATTATTTTACTTATTTCATATTCAAGAAAGGTCAATAAACTGAAACAATAGTACGTTAACGTTCCATATATGTACATAATAAAAACATTAGTTTAAATTGTAAGAAGGTAATATTTCAAAGAACAGCCACGGTCACGCACAAACTGTTAAAAACAACACTCAGTGGTCATTATTCTACAACAGCTGTGACTCATGTATAAAATTCTATAGAGCCTAATAACTCAATTTCATACTTGCTTTTAATTTGGAAGATGTTCAATAAATATGTTCTTTGAACATTTTATAGCTTTAACTTACTTAACTCAATTTTAAGCTAAAAGAAAAACAAAAAAGGCCATTTTCATGGCTTGTAGTATAATTAATTGTGTACAATCTAACAATTGTTCGTTCAGAGAATAGAAAGTATTGCCAAAATTAAATTATTTGTTATTAACTTTCTTCTCACAATCACTGTTGTCTGAACTACTACTACTAGTGACTCCTTTTTTAAAACCTTTCTAAGTCACTCTTGTCTGAGTTTTCTCTTGTATTCATGTCTTAATTATCTGTAATACATCTTATCAGACAAGAAAAGGTGAAAAATAGTTGAGTCCATGCAATCAGGGCCGTATACAGCGCTGAAAAAGAGGAGAGGCAAACTCTCGAAGGGCCTCCCTACTCCAAATGTATGTTTGTCACATAAAGGCCCCCTTTCGCAAAAAAAAATAATTACAGCGGAACATTGCATAACTATAAACTTTTATTTTGAGTATAAAGTATATAGTGGGCTCCTTCTAACCTTTTTAAGCAGGGCCCCCGGCCGAGGATTCGGGGGGCTGTCTGTACGGAACTGGGGCTTATGTGTACGGCAATTTTTAAATAATACATAATGTACAGAGAAATTAAAAACTTATTAGGGCCCTTTTGTTACCTGATTGGCAGTCCCTTTGTTGACTGATTAGGGGCCCTTTTTTGAATGATTTGGAGCCCGTTTGTTGACTGATTGGAGTTACTTTCCTATTGATGACGTTTCATTTGTTTACAATGTTACAATTTTCCTTATAGGGAGCCCACCAATTTTTAGGAAAAAGCGAGGAGGCAATTGCCTCCTCTGCCTCAGCCTGGGCCCTGGTAATGACACATGTTTAATGATTGCAAGGTAAAAACTCACTACTGATTCTGCATTAAGGTTCTTGTTATCAAAGTACAATAAAAATACTGTAAAACATTCTACCACACTTCTAACAATAACAGGTAATTCAACTTTAAGATAATCGGAAATGAATTCATTTCTGTAGCGGTCATACATACTGTAATCAATTGTCAATCGCTAAAATTGAACTATTAAAATAATATTTATATTTATGACTGATATAAAAAATTCATATTTAGGACTAGTTATTTTGTCTCTTGTTTTAACAAAATATAAATAAATATGAACTGACTGAAACAAGAAATGTAATTTGTAAACTAACCATAATTTAATTTTAAGATTATTAAACTTGTTATCTCATACAAAGGGTGATACACAATAAAAGGAGTTCAGTAAGCAAACATTGGTAATTTGTATTCTCAGTGGAGTGAAAACAGTCACTGTATTTCATTCTCACTCTAAAGATTATTATTATAATCATAACTAATGAGAAAATGCACTTTGTTTGTGTATGTTTACGTTCCTAAAAGTGTAAAGATATAAAATCATTAGAAACGTGTGCCATCGATTGTGAACTTATGACAAATGGACGAGCTGAATACTAGCACAATGTTCTGGTGAACATAAGAACTGCAATCCATTGATAATAATTATAATGGAAATATCTTTTTATTATTAACAGTTTACATCCTTTGGACGTCTAAATGATCTTCACTAAAATAAGTAACATTTTGCAACGAAGATCCGATGTTTAGTTTTATGTTGTCTAAAGAGACTTATTTTTTTGTAATTAAGCACAAAGCTACACAATGAGCTATATATGCTCTATCCACCACGGGTATCAAAACCCGATTTCTAGCGTTGTAAGTTCGTTGACATACCGCTATGTCACTGGGTGTGTCTAAAGAGAAAACGAATGTTCAAGTAATAGATTTTAATCTTAAGGTACAATTACTTTTTTTTTCGTTCTCTTCTGAACGCTAAGATTTGCTGCTAATTCTGTTATTGTTTAGACTTGAACAAAAGGCCCTTAGTATTTCAGTAGTAACTACTGGTTTCACACAACGCGAATTGTTAGCGTTAGATGCTTTCTGTAATTTAGTATCTTACTTTGATTTCAGAGTAAAATACAAGCTATTGTCTTATCACAAAATAATTGTAGGTATTAAAAGGTTGTTTGCTTCAGTTACTACTAGAGAACCACTTACAGAATTATTTTCAAATGTTGAAAACAATCAAGCTATAGAAATATGCACAAACTGCTTTTCACAGCTGTAACTTGTATCAAAACGTTAAAGTGAAATATAACCAAACCAAAGGTATTTGAGGCGCCTCAGAAAGGACATTTTTCAGTTGAATAATCTCCTATATTGGGGCTCTCTCACTATATGCCTTTGAATTATTACACCCGCCTAACGGCGGGATTGTTGTCTTTACTCCTGGTTCTGTGAATAGTATAACTTGAAAAGTTTTCATGTAAGTTTGATTACATTTGATACGAGGCTGAGGGTCAAACCCTTTCGTTATAATGATAGTAAATTGTGATTTTTGAAGAACAGTCCAAATTCATGAACAAATTGAGAAACAAAGAGGATCATGGCAGCTAGGCCTACATGCTAGAGTGCGAGGAATTGTTTGTTGTATATTTTAAGGTGATTACCACAAAAGTAAAAAACATCGCAGGGCAGGGGTTGCATTCCCCGAGTGCCGTTCTAGTTTAATTTGGATTTGTATGTCTTGTAAAAATTATCAAATTGCGTTAAAATATATTGTAATTATAAGCTATAGATCAAACTATTACATATTCTACTAAAGTGCGCTATGAATAAAAATGACTTCAATTATTTATCAACATACGTTACTATTAGTTCGTTAACTAACATTGAAATTATTCACACGACTACAGCCTGGTTACTTTTAATATGATATCACATTTCTATTCAAAATTATGATATGCGTGAGAATAACTAATTTTTACTTTAAAAAAATCTAAACCCTTTTGTTTTCATAGTTTAATTAACAATATTACGAATTTTTATAAAATGTGATTTCACTTCTAGTTTTAATATATTATTGCAAATTTGGATTTAATATAAGGATGAAGTTAAGTTCTAAGTAACTATGCTTGTGTACCATTAGAAGATTAGGTGAATAGGCTGTTGTGAGATCATCTTCTAATGTTCCTTACCTGTGTCTTTTCTCTAGAATTATACATGACAGTGGTTTTACCCAGGAAGATTTTCGACAGTATAAACCTGTTGTGTACAGTAACACTATCCAGTCGATTGTAGCAATCCTCCGTGCCATGCCTAATCTCGGAATAAGCTTCGGGAACAACGAGAGAGAGGTAGGTGGAGCCGCCTTCTGCATTTTCGTAATATTTGTTTGTTTGTTTCTAATTAAGCACAAAGCTACACAATGAGCTATCTGTGCTCTGCTCACCACGGGTATCGAAACCCGGATTCTAGCGTTGTAAGTCCGCAGACATAACGCTGTGCCACTGGGGTACTCGTAATATTTTATTTAGAAAGTTTTTGTAGAAATTACTTATAACTGCCCTAAATTAAAAAATAATGTTATATTAAAAACAAACTGTGTGAGGTAATCTATTTGACCATGTTGTATCCTATGGAATTATTTCGTTAATTCTTTATAGATCTATGTCTTTGGCCATTCGATGAGGTTTTTAAAGAGCAGAAATTATGACTGATGTCTTTCTTCTGTTGGTCACTTTCGGTCAAGCATCAGTCACGTATTTCTGTACATAAAAGTAAATAAATATTATATATAGAACATGTTGAGCAAACATTTTCATAAACTTTGCCATATGTTTTTTATTAGGCTGTGAGCGTCATGACCTGTTTCTTGTGCTAGAAGTATCAAGTAATATGCTTTTTATTGTAATTAAACAGTTTATAACGTCAGATCGTCGTTCTATTAAAAGCTGCTTTAAAATAGTTGAGCAAACAGTTAGATGTTAATTAAAACAAAATCGAAAACCATTTATTCAAATTTCAGGATTTAGATACTAGTTACTTTGCTTTATTGAAGATTCTGATGCTTTAAACTTGGTACCTTTTAATTAATTACAAATTTATAAAAACTCAGATTTGAAAAGATAGTTAATGAATAGGCCAGGTCCTGCTAAATACACCAGAGGAGCGATATTACATATAAGCTATATATAAGTTATAACAATAAGAGTAAAACTAGGTGTGACGTGGTCGTTATTGGCTTATACGTCTCGATAATCTTGTAATTGCTAAAGATCGGTTTAGGTATATTTTATTGTGAGTGTTTCGGATAAAATACTGATTAATAAACTTTTTAACTTCGAATAAAAAATTAACTATTTTTATTAAGCATTAAATAGCTGTAAGTGAGAACATAAAACTGCGAACGCAGGAAAAGAACAGATGTGATACATTTGAACTTATATGTGCAAAGTTGTACTTGTTGATCATTAAGTCTTTCATGAAACCATGTTCTACACTATGCAGTTTCCCGATTTTTAACACTGGTTATATTTGAAAAAAAAATATGCTGTATATAATTTTATTATTGTTATTTAAAATCACGTGGTTTATATTTCGAATACTGAAAAACTTTACACACAATCAACATAAGTTAACAATATATAACTGATTCTATTCCTCAAATGGT